CTCTCTCTCTCTCTCTCTCTCTCTCTCTCTCTCTCTCTCTCTCTCTCACACACGCACACACAAACAAAAACGCTCACGGAAAGAAGCCAAACAAAATAAATCAAAGCAGGATGTGATCAAAAATGATTACATCTTCTAGCTGGTACTTAAAGCTAACATACACGGAGAGATCACTGCAACGCAAATACTCCGTTTTACTTTGCACTCATTAGTATCAAACAAACTTGATGTAGTAATCTGGCACTCCCCCTGTCAAATAAGCGCTTCGTCGCAAACAAGGATCGTCTGAGGCCTGGCCAAAGAGTCGGGGGAGCATGACCTCCTATGGATCAATATTTCAGGTCCAGGCGTCCCCTTTCAGAGCAGCACACTGATAAATGATCGATTTGGATCTGAAAGAGAGACACAAACAGATGCGTCTTTCTCTGGCTTGTGTTGTCTCCTCAGCACTCTGGGGGTATCTCGTCTCCAAAGTTGGTTCAAGGCCTGTTTAGCGACTCTAACACTAAGAAATTGGAATTATTGTGCTTTGTGAGATTATATGTGTGGGCTGAGCTCATAGATTGCAAAGAGGTCTGGACATCCCTTATGTTCAGCAAGAAACAAATTGTGACACAATCGCTGTTTCTGCACTGTCTTTCTGAATGTTTCATGTCTTCCAACCATCGTTTAGAGTTTTATTGCGCAAAGATTATCACACTAAAAGCTACCCTCCTTAAACCCTTTAACATTTAGCACCTGATTAACAGGACGTAAATGAAAACGAGAGACGTCGCAGTGGAGTTAAAACAGATGTGAGTGAGAGGTCCCCTCTCATTGATGTTTGTGTAAAGGCCCCGTTTAGACGTGCCGCGCTTCCAAACGTCAATCAGCTCTTCTGTGTCGTATTTCAGCCAACCAGTTCAATTAAGCAGATATAGTGGCATATTTTAGTTCCAGTCAATGCCCTATTGAAAAGCACTTAATGGCATGTAAATTGTTCCTTTGCGCATTTAGTGGGGTTCTGGTAAATAAAGATTTAAACACTCCACAATTGTCTCTTTAAGTGCCACTGCTGTTAAAGCTAATTGGGCTGTGGGGTTTTATATCTTCCACACCCAGCGTCAGGATAAACCCCCCAATTCAATTGACATGTTGGAGTGGCACAGTCCTGCGAGTGCACACCTACTGCATATTATAATGTGGTCAGGCCCAGGGCCGCCTAAGGCGTGTGTGTACGTGCGTGCGTATTTTGTTGTAGAATGTAAATTAGGGCTACACGCGATATATGGTATTTATTCTATTGTAAAATACATTTTATTATGTATCCACTCACGTTATATTTCCGCTTCGTAACAGCAGATTTGTCTGCGCCTTTTGTGCATTAACCTGCACAAAAGGTCTCAGATAAAAATCCAGTTGGGCAAAATGACTTGTATGCAAATGGGGGAGCAACATTTTACTTATTGCATTTAAAATCACCATTATCCTCGGTGCAGCATGTGGGCTGGGAGTGGGACTTGGGGGTGGGGGGGTTTGTGATGCTGAAAGTGAGGCTGGGCCATACTCGCTCGGCCACATCAATCAATAAATTCAAATTACTATTCCAAATTCATCACAGTCACACAAATCAATGCAGCTGCCCTGCTTAGCTAATGTGAAAATGCCAGTGTCTGCACACACACACACATGACAATCCACCCCTGAAACCAAAAGCAGAGCAAAGATGGGCCTGGTTGGGGGAGGGGGGGGGGGGGGGGGGGGGGGTGGAAATGTGTGCCCTTCACGCTGAACATCTCCTAATGCAACGAGGGCAAATACCCACAGGCGTCCCACCTATTGTGTTCTTCCCATGCAGACTCATGGCACCCGGGCAAGCTTTAACCTTTGGATGTCTCTTATTCTCGGAGCATCTTAAAGCGCATGCATCAGTTCACTATACTGTACAAATAAATAGGCGACTTCATTGTAAAGCTGCACAAATAAGAAATACGTGGGCAAAGCGAGGTTGGGGAGGCATTTAAAGATCGCATTAACGATGAAAACAATTCGTCTTTGCATCTGTGTTGAATTCCACACTCCATCTCAATGTATTTGGTCAGGTCAATACGGCCCTGATCGATAAGGATAGCCAGTGCATCTATCAATTATCCCGCCTCAGCACTCTCTCCCATTGGTCTCTCCCCCGGAGCAGAGGAGTGGGGGAGCCGGAAAAGTGGGGGAAGAGGACAGCTGTTGAAAAAATAAAAATGCAATTGCACACCTTTTTCTTTGCTGTAATCATGTTCCGTTTGTTGTGTGTAATGCACTCACTAATTTGTCCTGTGGGCCTTTGAGTTATATGGTAAAATATTCTATGCTATATTATAATATAATATAGTATTCACGCCTAAGACAAATGCTGTGGACCAAAGAAAGTATGCAATTATAGAACCAAACCTCCGGTATTTCCCCACGAAATGGTGCGTCCTATTTCTCATTTTGGTGCATGCCAGGGTCCCCTCTCCCTAAAAAAAGCGCAGTTGGTTTATTACCATTTGAATGGCCGGAGCACGTGCCAGAGTGTGCAGGTCAAGACCCAAGGGCCACGGATGAAAAACATTGTTGAGGGTGGGAGGCCTCTTTTCATGTTTCAATGGACTACACGCAGTTTACACGAGCCTAATCCTGAAGCAATCCACCCCCCCCCCCACCCAGACACACTGCGCCCTATCCCCTCCGCGCGTGCATCTCTGCAATGCCTATGCTCCTTGGTAAATATATTTTTATTGAGTTGACCAGTAAACCTTCCTTACATGCTATGTCCTTAACTTTAAGCCGGGGTTGATGGTTTGAGAGGGCTTTAATTATTGCTTTTCTGCTAATTAAATAGTCATGGTGCATGGTACCTAAAGGAGGCTACAAACTGTTTTTTTTTTTTAAATTTCCCTCTACAAATCATTAGGTATGAGGGAGTTTATTCCTGCAGGTCAGTTTTCTCAGTTTAACGGTTTGAGGGCGCTGTCCAGAGTGCTGAAATGTGCTGCCCCATCCATCCACACTGAACTGCGGGGATCTCCTCTCTGTTTTGAGGACAGTTCAAGGTGGTGAACTGGAGTTGTACCGATACATAGCTAATAGCATTCTTGTAGGCCCTAAACACCATTATTTCATCCAACAGCTTCCACCCATCGATCAATATTACAATCCACAATGGCGTCAATCACACCACCCCGCACCCATACTTTCCAGTCCACGAAGCCATTTCATTTAAATCACATCTTCTTCATTTTCTTGTTGTTTCTGAAAACAAACTGGAGGGTCGTCCTTATTTTGGGATGCTCACCAAAAATATCCAAGAGCCACAAAAAATAATCTTCTTTTTGGTCATTTAAGACGGGATAATGGGTTTAATTGGGTATAGGGCAACACGATGTGATTGATGCGGGTTAATCTAAAACATTTTCTTTTTTCATGAAGAGATGGCTTGATGTTAGCCCGCGAAATGATCGATTGGTACTTTAATAATTGATGTGTGAGGGGAAGATAGGGGGGGGGGGGGGGGTGTAAACAGTGCAGCTGCGGTTCTAGAGCCTCGTTGTTCGTTAAGCACAGCAACGTGTGCTGCAAGTACCGAGACACGCATGTACAAGCATGGCCTTTGAAATCCTGCGGTGGGAGAGCAACAGTCATTTTCTTGAGGTTATACCTCGAGGCTGTTCTGTTTAAATCCCGGGATCAGCGGGGCTCAAACCAGATGAAATGACATCTCACGCCTTTGCATCATTATTGGATGAGGAGGCTGGTTGTATTTGGTGGAGGGGGAAGGGGGGGTCGATTCCTACAACTTTAAATTAGCATGAATCTTCATGTAGGCTGATATGAATATTCATAATTGGATCCATCGTGTGGGAAGTTATCATATATGAATGGGTGGAAAACTCCTACACATGCACCCTTGATTCCGTTTAGAAGACTGCATCTAAACGACTGCAGCTTCATATTCTTATCCAGGCATACCACGAGGACAATATCATAGCACGAGCTTCAGCCTGTGTACGTGTCGTGTCGCCTCCCCCGTTTCTTCTCTCCTGTGTGTATGTGATCGGGGTGTAGAGTGCGTCTGCGCCACATTGTTAAGGCCGATCTGGCGAGCCCTGAATCTGTATCGATTTCCATTCGCCCGGCCTCTGCTTTCCATCTCTGGAGCTGCGCCATGCAGCCATGCACCCCCCCCTCCAACATGCAACACCATTTCTCCCATTAACGGCTCACCCTTCATAAACACGCAGCAGCAGAACGATTAATAAACGCATGCTCTTGCGCCGACTGACTTTAAAATCCTGAGAGGTTTAGTAGCCCCTCTCAGGTTCTGCGATAGAGAGACGGATTAGCAGCACCAGGCGACTTTAAAGTTCACAGTCGCGTGACCTCCTACCGCTCATTATACATCCCACCCACACGGTTCTGACCGAGTCTACCTTAGTATTCAAAATAATGTAATTT